TAAGTTAAAAAGATAAATTCGCTTTTCTAATAAGGCAAGTTGTTTCCCCAAGATGAGCATATTGGTTTGCTTTCAAGAGACCGAAGAGGACGCCGTATAAACCTAAAAGAACATCTAAAATTGTCAATCTTTTGGAAGCCGACGATGAAATGTTCAGCAGATAAGCTAGTACTACTTGACAGACTTCACTTACCCTGTTGTATCTTTTCTCTAGGAAGTTATCTTGGCTATTGTTTAGTAATAAGTTTGACGATGTCGCGTCCGGATTGACAGTCTTTAAAGGTTTTCTCATAATGCACTCGAAGAATTAGGCTATCATTTAATATCCCCTGATTGATTTTAGTTTCTTTGATATAGGGACTATTTTCATATTTGGAGCACCTTGCAGAATAAATTATATTTGTGTTGGTAAGATTACAATACAAATTAAGATCAGCCAACACGTCAACAAAAGGGATTACTCATAGTCTCTGAAAAAGATGAATTAACGCGCCTTGTAAGCAATGTTTGCCTAATAAGCCTCAGAAGCGGGGCTACAACCTATTCGTTTTATGTAGTCTCATGGGATACGCATTTTGTTTCGAACTGTATTCCGGACAAAAATACAAAACCAATAGGCTAGCAGGTGAGCCAGGTGTGGGAGTCATTAATAATGCTGTTTTACTATTAGCCGGAATGATGTCAAGAAAGGAAGATCATTTGTGTTATGTTGTCTAGTTATATAAGCGCGCAACCCGTAGACAACAACATCTCGCGATATGATAAAATTATACACATCAAAATTTAGTGACCCCATAGCGGTGGACACCCAGCTAACGATTAAAAATTTCGCTGCAATTATAGACGACCTACTAGGAAGTTGTACATTAACAAAAATCAGTGGAATTTTTATATGAAAAACTGCCATGAAGTTGTATATCAACCAAAATCAATAGAATTTTTATAAGAAAAACTGCTTCCTCTCTGATACAACTGCTTTTTTATATCGAAAATCTTCCGTGGGCTCTTGTCAAACTCGTTCTCTCTGATAAAATTGAAACTGTGTCTTCCATACATTTATATCTGTACAATTTTTGTCGTTTTGCTTAGAATAAAGATAATGTTTTTATTTACAAGAACATTTCTTAATGTTTTTTTACTACTAGTCTTATTTTATTCTTATAATTTCAATTAAAACATTAGGCTTACTCCTGGCATGTAGGCGAGTAAGCGTATAAAACTGAAAATGATTCTCAATAATTGTTTAAGTATTTGTATAAAAATTTGGCAGTGTAGGAGAGTAAGCGTATAAAAATTTGGTCATGTAGGAGAGTAAGCGTATAAAACTGAAAATGATAAGTACTTATAGTCAAAAATAAGTTTCTATGAAATTGGATCTGTCCGACAGATTTTAAAGATCCTTAAGATAATCAGGATTAATTTTGCTCAATTTGGTGAGGCTCCATTTAAACCAATCCAACTTAATGTTCCATAAAAACAAAACTTCAATTTCTCACTTAACAGATGTTCAACATCGATTCGTCACACGACCAGAAAAGTATATTGTACGACCAAAAAGTATATTGTACGACCAGAAAAGTATATTGTACGACCAAAAAGTATATTGTACGACCAGAAAAGTATATTGTACGACCAAAAATCAGGAAGACCAGTTAATTTGTTTTTAGTTTTTTGATTTATATAATGTAAGACGTGCTGTTGTGTTTGATATGTGTGTATTTCCTAACATTATTTAAATTTCATATTTTTATGTGAAATTGTCTCTGCTTAGTTATAAAATGTAATTTAACAAAGAAAAATTGTATATCTTTCAAAGACACAGACCTCAAAAATGATGGCTACCACCATTTCAGTAAAAATTTGTATGTCCTTTACGTTGTCACAGGTACGGCACTCCCTCTGGTAGTTGAACGATTCTTCACCCAGTTACAGAACTGTTATATGAGCCAAAATTTAGTAGCCATTTGTAGGTGGTTTTTTGATCATAAGTTATGCAAGTGTGGTTAGTAGTAATTTTGTAGAAGGTATTAGTGCAGTTAGTAGTCATTTTGTAGATGGTATTTTGATCATAATTCATGCAAGTGTGGGTTTCATAAGATATACTTTCTATTGCCCCGTTTTCCTTTTCGAGATGCGAACTTATAAAAATTATCGTAGGGCGGGATTCTAAATTATCTACCATGTTTATAATAACCCTCATTTATAAATAAGCAACTTAATAGTCGACCAATTTAATAAAATTGTTGCATACACGTCAACTCCTTGTTACGTCAATAACAAAACATGTCTTTAGGGGAGATCCTTGATTCAAGTCTATCGACAAATGCACAGAAATCTAATAAATCTACAAGGACGCGATCAAGATAACACGCATTCTGCAGTTTTTTATGTAAATAATAAACTAACCGCAATACTTATATAAAAATTTAAACTTTAATCTGCTTATGACATCGTATGAACATTGGACATAACTTGAGTAACCAGCTTGGAAACTCTTTTAAGAAATTTACTAAATACTTTACATATCAAATTTTGTTGATGTCCCCTATTTTGCCTAATTGGACTTCAAAATGTGCTTATGTAGTTTCAATTTTCTAGCCGAATTCTAAACCGGCTTTAAACATGGCTGGCTTCGTCGGCTTCTATATACAATCTACGCAACTTCTTATACTTACTATAAACCAGGCAAGGCGGCCACATATAAACGAACACAAATTTTATCCAGTAGTGCATATGATGAGCGATAACTTTTATATAATTTGTGAAAGCCCAAAAGAAAATGAAAGTCTATAAAAAACAATTCAAATATAATAAATTGGATCAAACCATGAGCATATGTAAATAAAAGGAATAATGAGCTTTTACTTATTCTCGCTAAAAGCTCTTCAAAACCCTTTGTTTTATTCATTCCATCGGAACGCTCCAAATGCTTATATACACAACATCAGTGGGCCAAGAGCTGCTCTGTGTAATCAAAGGAGGACTCTACCTCATCTTCGCTGTTTATATTCTGCAATTGCAATTCAAATTGATCAGTCGCCATTAAGCATATAACAATCAGGAAACGTTCATTGCAATGAAAAGTATAAACACTCAATTGTTGATAGGGCCAAGCAACAATTTTTTCATCGGCTTCTAGCTAATCGTCATTATTAAAGCCAGAAGCAATTTCTAGAGATAATTGCTGGGCCGCTTGCGATTTTTCCAACAAATTTTGCATAAAATCACGTGCAGTATTCTGACAATATGCAAGCGAAAAACATTACATTCACTATATAGTACAAAACTTTTCGTTTATGTTTTGGGTTTATTCTCAATTTATAAACAACCGTTTAGTTGCGTTTCGGTTTATTCTCAATTCATACACAACCATTTAGTTGCGTTTCGGTTTATTCTTAATTTATAAACACAACCATTTAGTTAAGTTTCGGTTTATTCTCAATTTATAAACAACCATTTAGTTGCGTTTCGGTTTATTCTCAATTTATAAACACAACCATTAAGTTTTGTTTCCGTTTATTCTCAATTGATAAACAACCATTTAGTTGCGTTTCGGTTTATTCTCAATTTATAAACAACCATTTAGTTGTGTTTTGGTTTATTCTCAAACACAACCATTTAGTTGCGCCTCGTTTCATCCTTAATTTATAAACATAACTATTTGGTTGCGCTATACCATAATCAGCTATTTTCCCAAGAAAAAATATTAAATTATATAGGAAAAGATGTAAAAATTATTTTAATTTAACAGATAAAAGTGCCGGCGGCGTTGCAATTTAACCGTTTATTCCTGCTTTGCCTTTTTAACAGATTAACTACTGCGTTGCTTAATTTGATAATAAAAACAAAAATTATGGCGGTCTACTTTTAGGCTAACTTGTAAAATCAAATAAGTTTAGTTCGCGTATTTTCCAAAACACTAAACATCTAATATTTTTACATAAAATGTTGAACTCATTCTATATGTAGGCCTAGCCTGCGTGGGCGATTCATCGCCACGCCTTGTTAAATATAATCGATTTATTCAATTTATAAACAACGATTAGAAGTATAGCCGACATTTTAACGTGCGCAGCGCTTAATAACTCACTCTTTATAATTATGTATTAATTATTTTCCTTTTTCTAGCTTTTTCCTCGAGAAAAATATGGTATCATAATTTTTGCATATAATGGGTCAAAAAAGCGGAGATTCCAGTTTTGTATGTGTTCAATTATTACAAACTTTGAATATTCTTTTCGAAAATATACGTAATAAAACTTCATTATGTAGGTTGATGCTAACTTAGTGAAACATTATAATAATTATTGATAGCTTCTTATTTTATTCTTAGATTATTTGTTAAGTAACAATCAAGTAAACTCAATAATCGTGCATAAAGTTGACTTTTCTTTTTTTTTCTTTCCCGTTGATAGAAAAAGTTCGCCACCGCTGATTATAGGAAAATAATTATCTGATCTAGAGCATATCTAGTTACTTAAGGCAAAAATCTTATTTATTCTGACGAACAGAAAATTATGATCTACTTGCTTGCCATTCCTGAAAGAAAAACTTTAAAAGGACTCAATGATCACAAAAATCTATCCATCTAAAAGATCTACAAAGTCTTGCTCTAAACGCAAGGCTTTCTCCGTTCTGCGGTTTCACGGTTTTCCGCCTGGGTAACGCTTTGAGGTGCTGTGGTGTGCTTAGGTGTGCGCTCAAACAAGAGACAGCTGCATTTCCTTATTCGCTTATATTTTAACCATTAGTCAATGGTTCCAAAGGTTTACAAAAATGTAAGAAGGTATGCAAGTAAAGGTGTGAAAATATTGTGAAAATGGCAAGACAAATCAGTTCAAAGTAGAGTAAAAAGCATAGAGATCCCCTAAAGTTTTATCTTCAATAAGTATATAACGATCTTGTCGATTTGTAAAATAATCATTTGACAGGTTGGCTCCTGATATAAGTACAGCATCGTCACATAAATATATTTTCATATACTGCAAACCTAATAGTTCATTCCAACGTGGCGGTATCCAACGTTTAGAGATTGTCATCATTATAAACGTACATAGTATAATGTTATGTTGCACCCAATCTATTTTTAATGAAAAAAAGAATTTTTAGCGATATATATGAGAAAGGAGATCGTTGGAGTAGTTACGATCCCGCCAATCATCGCGAAATTATAGAAGAATATGAGAAGGTGGAAGAAGCTAAACGTCAATTAAAAGCCGAAAAATTAAAGAATGGTTAGTAGAAGCCTTCAACACTTTTAATCCTATATACATTGCCAGAAACTGTGTATTAAATTAGATCCTGATGCGGAAATATCTCGCATGGGAGGCTCATGGTAAGGGGGTCGATGTTCATTTATTGGCTGAGCCTACCAAGCTGGAGCTATTACAAAAGGAATACGAGAAAAAGAAGCAACAGTTCAAATCAAGTGTAAGAATAGTTTTAGTTTAATCATTCACAACGTAGCGGCTTTTGGAGATTGTTTTGAAAAATCTCCTACTAACCATATGAGATCCAAAAAATATAATAACGGACATATTAGCCATTGGGATTTTCTCTCATGAACAGTGCTTCTACTAGTGCTATATGACTTTACTCTTTTTATCTTAAAAATTTGTACCACTGTATAACTTTGTTTTACCGTGCAATAATATATTTTATATTTTTTCAGACGAAGGAACACATTGTGGAAAAGTATGGTGGTGAAGAACATTGCAAGCACCACCTAAATCGCTACTGTTGGCCCAAACCGAAGGTTACATAGAATATTCGCGTAGCAACAATATCAATATGTGTCGACAAAATATTAAATTAATAGTTTTCAGCATCATTTGTCGTTTCTTCGGATCTACTGCAGAACGCTCGCTAGCAAAACAAATTTTCGCAGAGCAACAAGAAGAAGACCTGTACATACAAACTTAATCGTTGTTCGTTTGAATCCATATTTAAAAAATATATTAACTTTTATGAGAAAATGGAAAAATAGTCTTATTTTTATTTATTAATTAATGTTATTAATTAAAAAATAAAAAATGAATATTAAGGCCAAAAGTAATTTAATTATCTTATCTTAATGTTATTAATTAAAAAATGAAAAATGGATATTAAGGCCAAAAGTAATTTAATTATCTTGAGTATTAACTGTTCCTTCAGCTAGTGTTGGTGGGTCAGACAACGTTGCCGGCAAATGACCGAGGTAGGCATCATTATCGATGCAGTAATTTATGATCATGCGCCAATGAGGATCAAAAAAGAGTGTGTCGGTGTTGCCGTATATCATAAGCAAACAACGAGGCCGAGAAATTGCGAGTTTGGTTGATCTTTCGTTTCGTATGAATCCTAATCCATGGTGCATATCGTCAAATATATGCTCCTTGCTTGATCTCACTCCTGAGATTAATATTATATCGCGTTCCTAAAAACAACCAAGCGAAATCAACATTAATATTAATTCAAACTATAATTTTACGAAGGTTATACCTGTCCTTGGAACTTCTCCACAATACCAATTTTAGGCATCGCTACGTCGGCATCATCAAAAAGATATCGCAAATGGTTAGCTTGTTTTATGAACGGTCTTATAATGCCAATCGATTCAGCTTTAATGTTATTACGATACAAATATATATTATATTTCAAGCACTTGTATGAATATATGGAGAGAATTAATATCAAATTTTTCAAAATAGGGGAAAATCGAATGCCACGCCTATAAAAATTATATAAAACTATTCAGGAGACGTACAAGGGGAGATGAATGCATATTTTTTATACATTTATATATACAAGATTATATATTATATTTCAAGCACTTGTATGAATATATGGAAAGAATTAATATCAAATTTTTCAAAATAGGGTAAAATCGAATACCACGCCTATAAAAATTGTATCTGTCGGACGATGTCGCTGTCCACCATATGATGCGTAAAATGAGTAAAATATTTCGTACGCTCGGTGAAACGCTTTGTGGACCTCCTCTTTAGGAAACGCCGGGTTCAGATTCAGCGAGGAAAGGATCCAGCCGTCCAAAAGCTGCTTTGTGATTAGTCAGCCGTTCTCAATCTCGCAGGCATCTTCCTTTGACTGGCTTAGGTCAGCCAGACATGCCTGACACTGCAGCTGCTCACCGATGTACCTGGCCATGGCATATCCTGTAAGCAGCCGTAGGTAGCCTTCCTCTATCGCGGTCATAGGTTAAAAATTTGTCGCTGTAGACCTCGGCATCGGCGTCATATGGCTCGAAATCTTCTTCTTCGCGGGTTGTGGCCGCGTATTTCATCTTGTTGATGAGGCTGCAGTCGCCGTCGGACGTAAAGCCGCGGGATCATTCTGACATGATGAACTCCATCAATTTTCTCAATATTTCCACAGTTTCCAATGGCGGCCTGGTTTTCCTCCTCAGTCCGACCGCCAAGTTGGGGAAGGCCTTTTCCAATGAATCCTGGCTTACCCTGAATGGTTTCCAAATTTCGTCAAGGTAATCCGACAACAGTTCGCTTATTACATCGACGAAAGTCTTCATGGTCTCACGGGTGTCGTTGGCAAGCGCGTCCCTCTTTAAAAACTGTCTGAAATACTCCTCCAACTCTTTCAGCTTATTTTGTGTCTCCGCCCAGTTCTTTATATTTATTGGCACCCGATGGAACACGTCCACGATTTTCGTTATACTCCTAGTGAGTTCGCATATTTTATTCGCCAGGGAGCACTTTAGCATTGATTGCTCCGTGGGTTTACGACACCACAGCAGGCCGGAAAAAAATCAAATGTTGCGTACGTGCCATAGGGTGCGTTGCGAACTGGGATGGCTGCCCTTAGGGCCCAGAACCGCGATTTGGTACAGCGCGCCTTCGTCATTACTGAGATTAAGTCTTTCGTGTCGCCCTCGACAGGTAATTGGTTTCTGGAAATTTCACTGTTGAATGCAGCCACGATATGGTAATCGAAGTTGAGACGAATCTGGTGTCTGCTGCCATCGCGTGGTTTTCTATTATAAACACCATCTAGAAATTTCTTCGACTTTCTTACACTAACCCCACCTCGATCGCACACGAAAGGCCTAACGTCGAGGCCAATATTCTCGGCAAGTTTGAATATGTCATTTAACATTTTGCGTTCGTTAAAGTTGAGGGAGGTGCAGCGAGGGTACCAATCTAAAATTATATTAAATTCTGTTAACAGCCTCCTCGCTGCAAATACAATGACGGCGTCATGTTGCGAGGTCTTCGAACATTCCTCGTGTGTATATGAGCAACGGTCCTCTGGTCCCGGTATGGAGACGGTCCTCTGCCCGCGAATATATAGTTTTTCGATTTGTGTAGACCTCGTCACAGCACACTTGTACGATTCTGTCGCGGGCAGTTAAGTTTTCTACGAACTTTCTAGCTTCTCCCTGGTGTTCTCCCCTGCTTCAGGGCCACTAGCGGCATCAGCCATGTTGATGCCCACTGCTTCCGGGCTCACACCACGCCGCCGTTTTTTCTGCGCAGACGCGGCGGCCGCAGAAGTAGACGTCTACGATCGACGCGAAATCACTTAGTTCGACGTAGTTCGTTTTTCCCTTTGATGTTGGCGGGGCGGCATCAGCCAGATTGATGTCCACTGCTTCAGGCCTCGCTACACGCCGCCGTTTTTTCTGCGCAGGCGCGGCGGCCCGTATGACCTCGACGGCCCGACTATATTGAAGTTCTTCGTCGAAGATTTCGTCGAGGTGGACAATCCTGTAGAGCTTTCATCAACCTCTAAAAAACAGTGCTGCGGAACGGAACACTTTGCAGCTATCATCAACCTGCAAAGGTTCCTTTAAAGAAAACGACTTATTTTAAATTTAGAAATTATAATAATTATAATTTATATTTACCTTACACTAACTAATGTTATACTGTAAGAAGCGAAATTTATTTGAAATTTATTGAAATATGTGTTTAAACTTTTAACAGACAAATAAGAGGCGCTACGTTGGAAGAATGGAAGAGATGGTGAGAAAAGCCACAAGTTTCTCTTTTGGCAGTAATCTGTCAAATTGTAAACCTTTCAAATACAAAGCGTACGCCATGAAATTTGTGTAGTGATGACAAACTTGACAAATGTCCTCCTAAGTTGTCTTTTTATCATTCAAAAATATTTTTATTTCTTGATGTAACGCCTGCGTCCGATAGATAGTGAGAATCCGTTTTCTCCACCATAGCTCTATACAAGACACTTCCTCAATTGTGTTTTGTCCATTTTAAGCCTAAGGTCATTTATCAAATCTCAGCAAATCCTTCATCATTTTTCATTCTTCCGAACTTTCCCGTAATCTACAAACGCCGATTCCCAATATAAAAAAGCTAAGTATTGTATTGCAACTGCATTGCCACCTCTAAGATCGTCAAAATTTAATACAAAAAACGTTATAACGCATTTGTAGCTTAACAACACTAATGAAAAGGAAAGAAAACAAAAAGAGTTACTTAACGGCAATTTTCATTTTCGCGATCTCCATTCGTAAGTTTTAATCTGCTCGAAAAGACCGCACAAAAAATGTTATTTTCTAAGAAACAAGAGGAAAAAATCCATTTGATGAAAAAAGTCATATTCATGTGAAATTATTTAAAATGTCGTTTGTGATAAAAACTAACGAGATTACTGAAACAGAAACAGCAGCTCGCGTTTTGTCAAGCAAAGAAAATGGTGTAGGCACGATATCCAGATACGATGGTGATGATATGCAGAAATTAGAGCCCGAAAAAAACAGAGACATTCGAAGATCGTTCTAGATTCCCTGTGCATTTGGAAATTAAATTAGAAACAGTCGTTTCTCGAAGCCCTCTTAACAGCTTACAACACGATTTGAAAGCAACCAAGAAAGGGGACAACGTATCGAACAGTCAGGTTACTATTAACTTCTTTCTGTCTACAAAGTTTTTCTTGTAATTGCTATCTTTAGCTGCAGCTTTTCCCATGTCATACTAATTATGTATCTGGTTGTATTTTTTTGCTGCCTGTCAATTGTTTTTGGGTAAAAACGTTGAAAAAGGCGTGAAAATTAACTATTTTTGCAATACAATCTTTGAGGTCCCAAATTGAGACTGACAATATTTAAATATATAGTTAAATCAATTGATATTTTAGCGGTTTGGGTGCATTGTTTGTTAATCTATCTTTAAAATCGGTTGTTTATTTAAAACCTGTAATATTTTTCTGATATTTTCCAGTATCAACGGGAGGAACTGAGAGCGAGGAGAAATCGTCTTTTAAAGATGAGATAAGATATTGTAACCAAGAACTATGTGCAACCGGTAATGTTCGGATTTTTAGTTGTATCTAGCTTAATATACCGAGAAGCAGAACAAAGACATGAGCAACATCTAAGTTTAACATACCTGATACCATAAGTGGTGTAGGATATAAAAAACCCTTCCAAACAGCCATTGGCACACTCCAGTTTGACATTGAAGGGGAATGCGCTACAACATGTCAATAGATAACATAGATTGCTTCTTCTATGCGATAAAACTTAAAATGGACTTACCGCAAGGAGTTCTGTTCAATATTTTTCTCGTAGAAAGTGGTAAAATTAATGCTTGAAATTATGATTGCCAATAGTCTAGTCTTATTTGCATTTTCTCACTTGGATTTTCTTATTTGGATTTTCTCACTCGGATTTTCTTATTTGGACTTTCTTACTTGGATTTTCTGATTTAACCTCATTTGGGTTTTTTTTTTTAATTATCTAATTTTCGCACGTACAGAGTCGTATTTAAGGATTTGCATTATTTAATTTTTCGCACGTACAGAGTCATACTGAAGGATTTGCATTATCTAATTGTTCGCAAGCACGGAGTCGTATTTAAGGATTTCAATGTTGTTTTTGCATGTGTTCCTTTTTTTTAAACGAATGATAACATTTGAAAACTACCCGAAAATTAGAAATCGTATATCAGTTGCGCCAGCTACGGCGTAATTTAGAAATGGACAATCCGCGAAACATCCAACATTCCAATAGAAAACCACCAAATCGATTCCCAATAATACCCCACAAACATATCACCAATCCAGCGATAATTGAATAATGAATTTCCTCTTTTTTACAGCGTTGGAAACGAGCGCAAAATGTCATTTTAAACAAAAGACATGTGCGAAGGTGATTTTTGCATTTTTTTTTATTAATTTTGAATTTATTAATAGAAATTTTATTTTTTTTCTAGACAAAAAAGAAGCTTGTTCAAGGAACGGGTAGCGCCATGAACGCCGCAACGCCGAGGCAGATCTGCGTCGACGTTTAAGCCGCCCTCAGGGGGCCGGGAGAGGTGAGCGCCGCCTACCAACGAATGCGGACGATTTGCGGCGCCGAGAATCGCCCACGCGTCCTAGGCGGAGGGGCAGGAGAGTTGGGCGCCGTGGAGGGATGCGTCGCACCCAACATATTATAATTCACAAGCATTATTATGCTTAATTTTTTCTTCTTTTTATTGTATTCAACTGTCAAGTAAGAAAACAATTTTTTTTTAAATCTTTTACTCAATTATTGATAAGTTTCCTTTTTTTCAGAATTACAAACAACATCGCCTGAGAGTACATTAAGAAATTTGGAACGTGTGAATATTAAAATGTAATTGTCAATTAGATTGATTATATAAATCGGTACACTATCGTCTGAGAGATATTTTGGTTATAAAGGCTTCAGTGCGTAAGATTTCTATGGAAATTCTGTAATAGACACAATGCTTGGGAATATATTTTTGTGGCTTATGTCGCTCTCATACTCAACTTGTTTTGTTATATAAGTTAGCCATATACGCTCTAAAGTCAACTCTTTCTGAGTTCAGCAAAGCAAGTTATAACCAAGCCGTACAAATAATTATCTCATAATTAACTAAAAAAGTTCCTCTTAAATCGCTTTAAATAAGTTCCATAGTTTTATAAAAACCTTTGTTAACATACATAAATACTTTGTTGCTAGACATAAATACAACTATTACACGTGTAAATTATATATGCAACAAAAATTAAACAAACATAAATAAATAACTTAAAATAAATTTATTCACCAAAATGGCTAAATGAATTATGCATAAAACATATATGTTAAAATAATATAGAAAATTATATAATCAAATACATAAAAATAAAAACCAATATTTTTTTAAAATTACAAATCAAATTTATTTTTATTTTTATAATGGGACATGAAACACCATCGAATGGCTTGCGCCAGCCCCGTTCATATATCGACTTTTCAAAATAGGACCATATTCACTATCGTTTTTTATTCGGCTAAGACCCGTTAGCTTGGGCTTCTTAATTCTTCGCCCTGGGTAAAAATCTGTGTCGTCTGCAGAAAAATTCAAAGCTTTTTGGGAACTCTTGTGCTTTTTACTTTTTCGTATTGTAGTACAAGCACTTCCTTCAGTAGAATAATCCATAGTTTCGTTTTTAATCCTTCAATCTCCTTCTTCTTTAAAAGGTGGAGGGATATTAATTTTGTCAAAACTCATAACAATATACGGGGTGTTAGTTGGCGTTTTTTATATACATTGTAACGGCCGCGAACAAACCTTGGGTAGGGGGTCTGTCGGTCTGTATCAACCGCAAGTATCGGAATAACGGCATGCCGTTAGACAAAATCATGCGATTTTGTGGTACTGTTTATAAATCACATGATCTTGCGGGATATGAGTGTTTTATTCTCTTCTTTTTCCCTTTTTGCATAGCAACAGGCGAAATCGCATGATTTTGC